TGAAAAGTAAAATTCCTTAAAAACTTGTTGCCAACTCCATACTTTGTTTTGTCCCTAATCGTATGTCAATTCTCACTTCCTATGAGTGCCAATCATATTCACAACATGCTTAACGTAGGCGCACTTCGAATGACGCCTACAAGTATACAAATAAAAATAATAATATACAAATCAATAATAAGAGTATACAAATTAACAATAACTAACACCGACAATCAATTTGTGTTATCGTCTTCAACAGTAACTATCACTGACAATCGGATATGAAATTACTATATACAAATCAACAATGTATATAGGCTTCTGCTTCAATCAAGGCCTCTTGAAGAGTCGCCACCCTCTTTCGGACCAAATCAGATTTGAATGTCGATCCGTCTTTGAGGCCTCTGAAAAAGTCATTATAGGCTACCTCATCCGATAACCCTTGAATATGTATTCTCATCAGGTTAAACCGCCTGATGTAAGAACGAAGCCCCTCCTTCTCGCCCTGCTGAATCGTTCCTAAATCAAGGGTCGTCTTCTTCGCAGGGATGTTCATGGCAAAGTTGGAGGTGAATAAGTAAGCAAGCGTCCTGAATTTATTCACGCAACCAGTCGGCAGGTTGCCGAACCATTGTTGTGCGATTCCTTTGAGAGTCGCTGGGAAACACTTGCACCAAGTGGGATCATCCAACCCTTGAAGGTACATCAGGTTGGTGAATGCCATCAAATGGTCTTCTGGGTTAGTAGTGTCGTCATAGGCGCCTACTAATACATTTTTCACTTTAGCCGGCTGAGCGGCTTCAGCAATTTCCTTGGAGAAGGCCGACGGCTGTTCCCCAAGTCTAAGCAACCGTAGCTGCCAGTCCATAGGTTGGACATTCTTTGCTGCATGCCCACCAAACAGAGGTGGCTGCAAAAAATATTGTTGTTGCGGTACAAATGGTAAGTTTGGTACCGCCTGGTCACTGTGAAAGCCGGACTGACGGGAGGTACCGCCTGACTGACTCTCATGATGCGCCTGAGTATGTCTCATCGAGGTATGCGCAGACTGTCTTGGAAGTTTGAAGTAGAGGCCGACTCTGACAATCGGTCACTCTTCTTCTGTTCTAGCAATAACCGAGAATCTGTGTATGTTTTCTTCGACCCGTCCGCCTGAATATGACGAACAGGTTTCCTCTTTCCTGATGTAGGAAAACGGTATTTTGTGAAATCAAGGGCAGGCGGCTCCCACTTCCTAGATTTAGGATGAGGGGTCGCCTCTCGCCCTTGAACTGGCTTCCTCTTCCCTGAAGTGGAGGGTTTCTTAGCCGACTGTTCCTTGGCTAGAGCAGGCTTCTTGTTGAGCAACTCTTGAATCTCTCCCTTGAAGTCCCTCATGAAGGTCATGAGTTCGTTCCTTGTGATGGGAGCAGACCCATCAGTCGGCTGCTACCGAACAGGCGGTGCGCCTGCTGGCTCGCTTCCAGTTTGAAGATGTTTCCGTTCCCTCCTTTCGGTATGACGGGTGCGTCGGGCCCTTAGGGTCCCGTCTGAAGCTGTGTGAGCTTCAACTTCAAATTCATTCTCAGTATCATGGTCCGACTGAACTTGAGGGTCGTCTAGGGGACGCCTCTCTTCAGGAGTCGATACAGACATGGGTGCCATCTCAGAAGTACTCTCCCCGCAGACGGCGCCAAGATGTTTCGGGGTTTTCTGATGTCCTGCGGGAGAGTTACAATTCTGAGACAGGAACCGGACGCCTGTACCTGCAAAACAAACGGATGCTCCGGATGTTTGGAGATCCGCCTCCGACGGTCAAGTTAGTACTTGCTTAAGGAGTATTTAATGCGGAAATTAAAGTGATTGGGTCTCTCTAGGTGAGAGTGTTTAATGTGCGTAATCTCCCTTAATGAGGATTAAGGGAGGTATTTATAACCTCGGGAAACGTACCAATCTAGGTTTAGGTTAACCTTGGGCTGATTGGGCTTCCCTCGACAGTTAGGCCTAGGTGGCCGGATTCTCCATTAGGCATGGAGTATGCCACGTGTCATGACATAATAGGTCCAGGGTGGACGAATAAGTGTGTGCCACGTGGCAAGCCCTGACAGTTCCAACTGGGGGACACTTGGCAGGACCTGATTGGCCCACGTGGCGCATTCCGATTGGTGGGAGCAAAAATCCCCTAATCACTTTTGATATTTCGTGATCTGATATTATTTTTTTAAATATTTTTTTAATTGAGTAATTATTATTTGTTGTACAATGTACACTTGCAAGATAAATATCATATAAAAATTCCAAAATAGGTAGCCTACGATAAATAACCCTAGCCCAAATTCAATCTTTTTACATGCGACCTTTAAATTTTTGTTTTCATTTCCATAATTTTTGTTTTTTACATGTATTTAAATATTTGAGGATTATCCATTTTGTATGTCGATTGCAAGACATATAACCAACTTCATTGTAAACTAATTTTAAATTTGTAAGTGTTAAGAGGTTAATTTTAAATCTAAAGTCCTTTTGACATTTCGTGATCTGACATTGTTTTTTTTTTAAATTTTATTAGTTGAGTAATTATTATTTGTTGTACAATGTACACTTGCAAGATAAATATCATACAAAAATTCCTAAATAGCTAGCCTACGATAAATAACCCTAGCCCAAATTCCATCTTTTAACACGCGACCATTAAATTTTTTTTAAGACAATTGTACGTATAATGTAAAAGTCCATTTGTTATTTTGTGGCTATAAGTTGTATAGGGATTTAATATATATCGGATTTCGGCTCCATTTTTAATATCGTGGATTTTATAATATATTTTAGTTCGACAATTTGTTTACTAAGTGTATGGATCTTCTTCATTTGTTCCTTAACATTTATAAGTTCAATTTTTAAAATTGGTCTATCAGAGTCACTATTTTGTTGATGACAATAATATATAGATAACTATTACGTATTTTATTGAACACTAACTATTAACTCTAAAAAATACTAACGGTATTTCACGAGTGACACCTAAAGTATGTTTGGAGGGCTTTTTTCCTGCCTATTGTTTTCATGTTATACACGTGGAAGCTTTTCATTGCTCCAAAGTTGGTATAAATATAAAGTTTGGTATTTTCCTAAATCATAAACACTTATATCTGTCACTTAATTCTCAATGGCTTCGAAAATATCAGTGAAGGTTCTCCTAAAGAAAAACAAACTCCACACTGATTGCATCGTTCCCAAACCAAACCCTGCAAAAAAACGTCGAACCAGTAGGGGTTTTAAAAGGCCTCGAAACCTTATGGTTTCCACTCTTAATCAAAATGCCACTAATTGCCTTATGAGGCAACTTCAGAGGAGCGCTAGTGGTGAAACAGGAGATGAAACAAGGCAGGCTGGTGTTTCTGGAAAAGTCAAACGTCAGATGGCTAATGGCTTGGACAAGCATGACCCTGATTTTGGTGGGTCTCCTGTGATGGATGGGGATGTCATGCACAGGCCGGTGGAGGGTGTCAATAACACCCACACCATAGTTGTTAAGAGCAATCAACGTCATGACGACGGAGTTGTTTATGAACTGCGAGATAACGACACATTCAAGGCAATCTACGCAGATTACTCATCCCGTTTGGATCTTTCAGCTAGGGATATCATCTTGAAGAAATTTAGCATCCCTATTTTACCTACACATACTGCTGCTGCTGCAAGGATCCAAACCGGTGACGTATCTATGTTATTCTTTAAAATGTGTGACATATATTCAACTAACTATTACCCTGGTTTAATATATTTACTTTTGTGATGCTTAATTATTATCAGGTAGTATGTAATCAAATAGTTAATATTTTGATTTGCAAAGGATGGACTTTGATTTATAATGACGAAATGATGGGCTACATTGTTTTTCGGCCCAATTGTACATCTTCATTACGGTAATTGTACATCTTCATTGTTACTCGGGCCACGTGCAATAGGGCCCATTGGTAAGGGAGTGACTTGCCACCTATATTTTTTATTGGGTCAATAAAGTAGTGAGGGTCTTTTTAGATGATGGGTTCGACACTAGCCACCTATATTTTTTGTTGGGTAAATATTTTTAAGAGTAGTATGTTACGGAGTACTATCTTGGTCATTTTGTTGAGTTAGAGATTAATTAGTGTGTTTATCAAGGCATTTTAATTTCTGTTTTTTTTCAAACTTTTTATTTGTTGTTTGTTAGTAGAAAGATTATTTTAAAAGGTTATTCTGCTAAATAAGCTTATCTTAGTCAAGTTCCGATAAAGATCTTTATCAAATAGCTTATTCCTAATTTACTTTAACATCCTTTATGACCTCCTACCTTTTAAATTATTGGTCATTTAAGTGAATCAAACGGGTCCGGTCAATTATGGGTATAAACAATTTCGGGTCAATTTGGGGTCGGGTCAGGTCGGGTCCTTTCAGGTTTCGGGTTGATTTTTGGTCGGTAGGTAATCGGGTAGGGTTGGAATTCGGGACAACAATTCGGTTCGCGTCAGTTTTTGGGTCGAGTAAGTTCGGGCCGGGTCAATTTTCGGGTCCTATTTTGGGGTCTACTTCAGGTCGGGTAACATTGATCCTAATTTGAGTAGTCTAAACAGCGTCTTAACAAACCAATTACTTGTTCGAAATAAAGTCCTATCACTGCGAAACATAAAAAACACTACTCTATTACAAAATTATTACAATATTAGGAATAAGAGGGTAATGGACATGGTAAAATGAGCACAAGATACTACTAGATCATACGATTAAAATAGTGGTGTATCAGTAGGACCAGCTTCTAAGGTTCCACATATCACCATGTTTCCTTGCTTTACTTGATTTACTCATTATACAAATACACACAACAGGCATATCATTTTTAGCCTACACCTAGATGTGTGAAATTTTTCTTATGGAAACTTACAGCTTCATAAAGAATACTATCACAAATTCACAATCCCCATAAAACATATACTAGCATTCACAACAGTATAACACAAACATATATAAAATAAAGTAAATATTTCCCCACTTCTCTTTGAATTAGATAACCCTAAAGGATATATTGGCCAATCAATTTTTAAGGGGATCAAAATATTCTTGGTTTTCTTAACCATCAATTATTATAATTTACACTACTCAAACAAGTGTTATAAAAGGAACCGTCATGAAAAAGCATAAAATGCAAACAAACCTATTATAGAAAAGGGTCATGTCTTAAAATTTAGTACACACGAACGACCATAAATATGTCAAATACAAAATGCATGGATCAGTTTCTTCTTCTGCACCAAGAACAGGTTCCAACCAAGCGGTAGAATAGTTTTCATTTAGGTAACCAAATGACACATATGACAACTGCAAAGGACCATGTCCTAATATGCACCATGATCCATTGAGGGATGAACTAGATAATAGATTAAGTTATATCCAAATATAACAGAAATAAACCATCTTGTTTACTTGAAAACATCAAGTGAATGTAATGTTTAAAACTGGGGGTTCCATACCTTCCAAGTTAACCGAAATCCTTCCACCGAGTTCAACCCCTTCACCCGCCATCATTTCTTGTACTCCTTTTTTTACCGTGCAGTTTAAAATCTTGTTGTTTGTGTCAAACTTGATGCGCATTACTCCTTTCCACCACTTAGTGACATACATTTCAACTGGAGTTCCATCTTTAAGACCATGGAAATGTGCAAGGGCGAAAGCTACTGGAATGTTCTGATTTAAAATAAACATCAAAATTAGATTGCATAGGATGCACATTAACAAATAATAGAAATCTATGAGATAACATACGAAATTCGAATAATAACAATTCACCATTGGAGTTAAGATAGGATAAACTTACGATTCCAGGTTTGTCAAAGTAACCCTTGGAGAATGTGAATTCGAATGTGGGTATTTTAAATAAAATCTCTGTTGGCACATACTCCATCGAGTCCACGTCACTTATTGAACCATCATTCTCTATGAGTACACGGGGGTCCATTATTGTAATTTCTTTATCCGCACGCCAAATCCTAACCCGATAAAGCATTAAATCGTCGTTCTCTAGCAATAACTGGATACAGTCTTCCATTTATATACTGTTTGAGGATACAAACTCCCCCCATCCTTCACCTAAATAGGTTTTGAACTTCCTTGGACCCGTAAACACATGTCTAAATCAGACGGTGTTTAGGGTAATTTTGCCCAGCCACGTGGCCCAATCAGAAGGTGACACGTGTCACCCCCAGATTGGTCTAAAATGGACCAATCCCTGCTCGACACGTGTCATTCCCGAAATCAAGGGAAAAGGCGGCCTTCAGGCCCAAATCCCGAGAATGCCGCCAAACGGCGCAGCCCACCAATGATTAGGGTTCAGTAACCTAATCAGGGGCGCAATTCCCAAAGACCCTATAAATAGGGAGATGTCCCTCATTTTGAGGGCACGTTTGATCATTTATTACACATTTACTCTTTGATAGAGACATCCCGAGCTTGGAATCCGAGCAGATCCCTACCTAAATTTCAGCACCTTTTTTCTCCCTTCAAGTTTCTAACTTGTGCGTCGGAGGCGGAGCACCACCCAACTGGTGTCTCCGTTTGTTTTGCAGGTACAGCTCACCCCGGATCAATCTTCGTGTTGTAACTCTCCCGAGGGACAAAAACACCCAAAACATTTGGCGCCGTCTGTGGGGAGAGTACCTCGAAGATGGTTCAAGAGTCTGTACCACCCCTTAACCGTCTAGGTGAAGACCCATAAGTTTTTACAGACCATGAGGATGAAGATCCTCATGTCGAAGCTTTTACAGCCGAAGACGGCTCTCTCAGAACTAAATGCATCCGGCCTAGAGACACTCTGGAGCGGGGTGCCTCCCAGGCGGGTCCGAGCATACCCCCTGGGCAGCCGGAAGGGGCAACCCAAACGGCAGCTGGATCAGCCCCTGTCACCCGAGACGAACTCATGAGGTTCATGACGAGTTTCAAGGGTGAAATTACAGAGCTGATCACCAAAAGCAGGGCTGGCCCAAGTAAAGGTCAGTCGGCAAAGAAGACTCCTCCAGAGAAGGGGAAGTCAGTCAGAAATTGGCAGCCCACTCCCCATCCAAAGTAGAAGGTAGCCGGGACCATCGATTGGTCAAAAATTCTCCTTCCTAGAGGGAACACCAATAACACTCGCCGGCCTCAGCAGCCGGTGAGAAGTAAAAAAATCAACTCTTGATGCCAAGGAGATTATTAACCGGAAGAGAAACCAATCGCTGTCTGAGTCGGCTTCAACGACGAACTTTCCAGACAGCTTCAACAACATCTCTGCAGGGAGTGCACCCTCCTTGCATGAGAGCCAGACAGGCGGTAATACCGTCCATTCTGGCCCTCATATGATTGGAGTCGTCCCGTATGTGCCTACTCAGGCTTACGGGCAGTATCCTCCTCACTTCATGCATCTGGCCTTCTTTGGGGGTCAGGCGGCGTATCCAAATGTCCAGCCATCGGACTGGCAGCTTCGCCTGCTGCGCCTGGGTGAACAACCTTCTGCGTTCACTCGGGAGATAACCGAGGCGGCTCAGCCGGCCAAGGTTAAGAATGTGTTGGTTGGTACCTATGATGGTACCACAAATCCGGAAGACCACCTCATGGCTTACACCAACCTCATGTATCTGCAGGGGTTGGATGATGCCACTTGGTGTCGATGCTTCCCGGCTACATTGAAGGGCATTGCCCAACAATGGTTTGGAAACCTGCCAGCCGGGTCCATAGACAGCTTCAGGAAGCTTGCCTTCCTGTTTGCTTCCAACTTCTCAATGAACATCCCTGCTAAGAAAACAAGCCTTGATTTGAGCACTGTTAACCAGGGAGAGAGAGAAGGGCTGCGCTCATATGTCAGGCGGTTCAACCTGATCAGAATTCAGATTCAGGGACTGTCTGATGAGGTAACTTTTACAGACTTTTTTAAAGGTCTGAGAGACGGGTCGACCTTTAAGTTCGACCTAGTCAGAAAAGGGGCTTTCACCCTACAGGCGGCCCTGAGGGAGGCGGAAAGCTACATTCAAGCTACCGACCACTGCTCACCTGGTAGCCAGTCGGACTCCAAGAAGTCTGACAAACAGAAAGACAGCCGGTCAGCTAAGCTGGCTAAAAACAAAGAAGAGAGCAAGAAAAGAAAAGAAGTCTGGGCGGTTACTGATTCTGACCAGCCGTCCCAGAAGAAAAAGAAAGAGTTTAAACCGTACGTCCCCAAGTACGAGTTAAACAAAGATTGAAACTTCATCCTCATTGAGGTAAAGGACCGGCTGTCCATTGAGAAGCCGAATCCTATGAAGAGTTCTGTCCAGTCACGGAACAAAAATAAATTTTTTCAGTTCCATGAGGAGGTCGGCCATGACACCAACGACTGCTTCAGTCTTCAGCGTGCATTGGACCGTCTGGCTGACAAAGGGTTGTTGAAGTCCTACATTTCTAAGTCCCCAGACGGGGCAAAAAAGAAAAACAAGGGTCAGTCCTCCAAGACTACCCCCCAGCCTGCTAGTAGTTCGGATACCGATAAGGAGCCGGTCTACACTATAGCAGGCGGGTTCTCATGTGGTGGCCCTACCATCTGGGGCACCAAGAGCCATCTTCGAAAGATGGACAAAGATGATGATGAGCAGGCGTCTGCCAGCTCTTCCTTCCCCGATGTCTAGATCACTGAGAATGATAGGGGCAGCGTCCGTCGTCCTCATGATGACCCGGTGGTCATTGAATGTAAGGTTGCCAACCAGTTAGTTGGACGGATCCTTATAGACACCGGCAGCTCATCAGACATCATCAGCCTCCGGTGCCTGCAAAAGCTGAAATACAATGTCAGCAGCATGCATCCGGTCACACACCCCTTGGTTGGTTTTGGGGGTGGGATGGTCTACCCAGCCGGAAGGATTGACTTACCCATCCGGCTGGGAGAGAAGGGCCAGGGACGACATATTGTCGTCAGATTCTTGGTCGTTGAGGAGTTGACCGCCTATAATATCATTCTTGGCAGGCCAACCCTCAACGTAGCCAAGGCAGTAATCATCTCGTCCCTCATGCTCATCAAGTATGAGAGGGATGATGGCTCTGTTGGTTCCTTGAATGGGGATCAGAAGACGGCCCGAGAGTGCTATCTCTCAGCCGTGCGAGATACCGTGGCCCCAGGCTGTCAGGAACCAATAGACCTTGACAACGTCAAGGATGCCGACCCAGCTCCTGCCCCATCGGCAGCCGGAAAGAAAAGAAAGGCTCCTCTGCTGGTGGAGGTGAAAAAAGAGAAAAAATAGCAATCACTGACCGGTGAACGGTCAGATGAGCTCCGTCCTAAACCGGCTGGCGAAAGCATTGATCTCGTTCTGGACGACAGCCGTCCAGAACGCACTGTTAACGTTGGGACGGTTGCTCATGCTACCTTGGGTGCAAGCTTGCACTTTCTGATGAAAGAATTCAAAGACATTTTTGCCTTTGAAGTGGAAGAGATGTCAGGCGTCAGCCCGGATCTTGCTGTCCACAAACTCGCCGTGGACCCCAAAAAGAAGCCCATCCGGCAAAAGAAAAGAAACCACGGCGAGGAAAGAAGTCAGGCGGCAGCTGCCGAAGTCAAAAAGCTGCTAGACGCCAGGTTCATTCGGCCTTGTAATTTCCCCGACTGGGTGGCCAATGTGGTCCTTGTGAAGAAACCGAATGGGACCTGGCGCATGTGTGTTGATTACACATACCTCAACAAGGCGTGTCCAAAGGACAGTTATCCGCTTCGAAAGATCGACAGTCTGGTCGATTCTACAGCCGGTCACGCCTTGATGAGCTTTGTGGATGCCTACTCCGGCTTCCATCAGATACCCCTGTGGAAGAAAGATCAAGAGAAGACGAACTTCATCACTGATCAGGGGCTATTCTGTTATACTGTGATGTCGTTTGGCTTGAAAAATGCGCCTGCCACTTTCTAACGGATGATTAATACGGTCTTCGTTAATCAGATTGGGAGGAATGTGGAGGCGTACATTGATGACATGATAGTCAAATCCAAGCTACAGACGGATCACCTTGCTAATCTCCGAGAAACATTCACCACCCTCAGGCGGCATAAGGTTATGTTAAATCCTAAGAAATGCGTCTTTGGTGTTGAGTCTGGGAAGTTTCTCGGATTCCTGATTGATCAAAGGGGGATAGAGGCTAACCCCGAAAAGATACAGGCGGTGATTGACATGAAGTCACCCCGCTCTGTTAAGGAAGTTCAAAGACTCACCGGTTGTCTGGCCGCCCTGGGGAGGTTCCTCAGCCGGTCAGGTGACAAATGCCTCTACTTCTTCCAATTAATCAGGAAGCAGACCATATTTGAATGGGGGGATGATACTGAGGCGGTGATCCAGAGGTTGAAAGAGCATTTACATTCTCTGCCTAGGTTGGTCAGTCCTTTGCCTAGGGAGACGTTGTACATGTATTTAGCCGTCTCAGACCATGCCCTCAGTGTCGTTCTCCTTGCTAAGCGAGACGTCGTGCAGATCCCGGTTTACTTCATTAGCCATGTTCTTAAAAATGCTGAACTCCGGTACCCCATGGTTGAAAAATTTGGCCTTGATTTGTATATGGCATACAAAAAATTGAAGCCTTACTTTTTGGCACATCCGGTGGTGATTTACACGGACCATCCACTCAAGCGGCCAATGTCTACCTTGGACTCATCCGGGATAATGTTGAAATGGGCTATTGAAATGCAGAGCCTTGAAATCACTTACGAACCAAGAAAGGCAGTGAAAGGTCAGGCGTTTGCCGACTTCATTGTGGAAATGACTCGTCCGCTGGCTTAGGATAATCTTGATCAGGTTTGGAAAGTGTACGTAGACGGGAGCTCTACAAAGAACGGCTGTGGTGCAGGCGTAATTTATGAGTCTCCTGAAGGAGACAGATTTGAATATGCACTACGCTTCAAGTTTCAGGCCTCTAACAATGAGGCGGAATATGAAGCCCTGCTAGCCGGCATACGCATGTGTAAGGCGGTAGGGGCCATGAAAATTGACGCCTACTCTGATTCTCAATTGGTTGTTAGCCAGTATGAGGGAAGTTATGAGGCTACCCATCCGGCTATGATTAAATATCTTCAGGAAGTCAAAGAAGAGACCAAGGCACTTGAGGAATTCCGGCTGAATCAGGTGCCTAGAACGGAAAACAACCAGGCGGATGCATTGTCAAAGATGACATCTTCCGCC